TCAGGACCATACTCGTTTCGATACAAAAATCTTTACTTATTAAATAAGAGAATATTATAGTAGGTATACCAGCTAGCATATCAATATTAAAATTCCGATTTTTAAGAAAGTTCAAAGAGTATGTACGGACAACTATAGAGGAATAACGGCCTTAAATATGACAAGCTATTCATAAGCCTACTCAGAGATCATTTGGAATCACAAATAGAGATCAGAGAAAAACTCCAAGACTTCAGAAAGTATAGGTCGAAGACGGACGCAATATTCATTATAAAATAAGTAAAAGAAATATCAATAGAACAAGCCATCAAGTATATGATTCGTGGATCTAACAAAAAGCATTTGATAGAATCAAACTTAAAGATATATTACAAAAACCGGTAGAAAAGACCAGCAAATATCTTGGAAATAATAAAACAAATGAACACCAATAATACGACAAAAATTAAAACAAACATCATCATTACAGTTAACGTACCAATCGTAGAGGAAATCAGACGGAAAGATAACAAACATCCCGTCGGCTTAACATAAACATATCTATGTGAAGGGTGTTTTTTAGAGGTATAGAAATGTATGAGGTATAAAAAGTTGGTAACACTTTCTTTAACTATTGGCCATTTTGACAGCTGTCAAGTGATTTATGTTAAGTTTGGTTTGGCATTTCAGCACAAAGAGACTTGACGCCTGAACAGCACTTCTAAATTACACAAATTCACTTTGAAAAATTGTGGTTCTGTTCGAAATAAGTATCGCACACTACGTCCATTTTATGGTCAATATAATAGTCCATCAGAGCACGTAATTCGATTAACCATGGAACGGTTTTGAACCACGTTTACTCTAAATGATAATATGCATCCACAGACACGTTGTATAATGCGTACTGAAGTAGATGTTGCTGCCGTAGACGTAGCTTACAGAAAGACCCGAATCAGTCTATCTGCCATCGAGCACATCGGTTGGATACGTGTCCATCTACTTTATGAAAGAGTTTACAGAAACATCTTACTTTTGGTGCTTACAACATCCAATTCATGCAAGAATTGAAGGTACATCATCACCTAGCAAGGCGTAGATTCGGTGAATGGGTGGTCCTAAACGAGATTGCCGTAGATTCCGATTTTCATAAGCGAATTATTTTTAACGATGAACCTCAGTTTTGGTTAAATGGCTACGTCAATAAACAAAACTGCCCTACTTAGAGTTAAGATAATCCTCAAATGTATGTTGAGAAACCATTACATTCAGAAAAACTGACTGTTTGGTGTGCTTTGTGGTTTGGTGGAATCATTGAACCGCACTTCTTCAAAAATTATGCTGGCCAGAACGTTACGGTCAATGGTGACCGCTATAGAGCCATGATTACTGCCATTTTCATTCCCCAATTGAACAACCATGATGTACAGGAACTGTCGTTTCAATAAGACGTCGCAGCATGTTACACAGCTCGTGCCGCAATTAATTTATTGAAGAAAACGTTTGGTAACCGCATAGTACTACGTTTCTGACCGTAAATTGGACTAGAAGATCGTGTGATTTAACACTGCTAGACTATTTTATGTGGGGATATGCGAAAGTGCTAGTCTACGCCGATAAGCATGAATCGATTGACCACTTGAGGCAAACATTCGCCGCGTGATTGCCGATATTCGGCGACAGATATTGGAAGAAGTGATTGAAAATTGGACTTCAAGATTAGACTAAGTCAGAGCCAGCCATGACAGTCATATACCAGAAATCATATTTAAATTCTAATATAAAAAAATTATCTTTCGAATAAATTCAACTTCATGTCAATTGATAAAAATAATCTTTGTTTTATTCCATTTCAAAGTTCTATACCTCTAAAAACATAACTTAGGAAACAAAGTGCATTACAATAGCTAAAAATCCAATTAGATGTAAGGTCGCAGTAGAAAACAAACCCATAGAACTTGAACGAATTCAAGTACCTCGGCGTAGATTTATCCAGTCAAAGACCTAATAGGACAAATAAATAAATAATGTATCCTGTATCAAACGCCTAATGACCTATGGAATAAAATCCGGGAAGACACTTCATGTTCTTTTGGTGTCTATTCGTTTCGAATATTAGCGATAATGCTGACCATAATTATTTTTTTGACCGATTCTTTAAATAGTTAGTTGTTGTTGTGTCGAACCAGGATTTTTTACTACGAAATTCTTCTTCTTCTTCGGCTTTTCTCAATATGAGTTCGCCGTTTTCGTCCTTCACAGCACTCTATTTTCCCAGTCATCTTCGCTGAGGTCTCAATCTATCAGCATTTCCTATGTATGTTTTCCATCTTGTAGCAGATCTTTCTCCCGTTTTCTTCCTGTCGAGTCACAGTTTAATATTGTTTTTGTGCTCTGGCATTCTTTGTACATACCCATACCACTGCAGAGCTCTGTTTTCCAACCTTATTGTAATTTGGCCAGACTTTCACTCCAACTTAGGTAATATTTATCATTATGTTCTGAAAGATCTTCTTTTTTCTTTGGTTAGACTGCTGTTACATATCACTTCATGGAGTGCTTTCGTGGCCTGTTTTCTCCGTGCTATTCTCATTTCTATATTTTTCATATAAGTACCATCTCGGCTTTTCATTAACCCTAAATATTTAAAAGTCTTACAACTCTTAATAGTCTCTTCTTCTAAATTTAAGTTTAAATCTGCAACCTCGGATCTAATACATAAGTATTCGGTCTTACACATATTATATCTTGAGCTTCCATATTTTATATTCGTCCTTTAATTTTCTTATCATATATTCCATATCTTCCCTGTCTTGTGCAAAAATGACGTGGTCATCTGCAAAACGTAGTGAATGTGATATATTTTCTTGTACTGGTATGTCCATTGTTCCGTATTTTCTATTCTTCTTCTTCAAGTTCCACTCCTATCGGAGATTGGAAATTATTCTGGCAATTATAATTTTGTTGGTTACGCGCCTGAATAGTTCAATTGAACTGCATCCAAACCATTCACGGAGATTGCGTAGCCACGAGATTTTACGTCTTCCTACGCTTCTTCTGCCTTTCGATTTTACCCTGCATTATATTCATTAGTAGTTTGTATTTTTCTCCTTTCATGATGTGCCCCAAGTATTCCAATTTCTGATTTTTATGAAATTTAAAACTTGGCATTGTTTTCCTAGTTGTTCGAGAACTTGTTCGTTTGTTTTGCGATGCATCCATGATATTTTCAAAATACGTCGGTAACACCACATTTCGAATGCTTCTAGGTTTTTAATGTTGGATTTTTTAAGTGTCCAAGCTTCAACCTCATACAAAAATGTAGAGAAAATATAACATCGAAGCATTCTTGTCCTAAGCGATATATTGATATCGCGATTACAAAAAAGTTTTCTCATTCTATTAAAAGTTAACCGTGCAATTTCAATGCAGCATCTCATTTCTTTTGTCTGATCAGTATCTTCTGTGATCCATGCTCCAAGGTATTTGTACGAAGATATTTGTTCACTTTTTGTATTATCTAGTACTAGCTTAACTTTGATGTTTTGTGCTTTTGTAAATACAAAGGTAGTAACAGCAATGGTGATCAAAATAACAAACGAGGAAATGGTTCAAGTACTTCAAAAAATAAAGAAAGGGAAAGCAGTTTATTTAATAGAACTATGGACATTGAATAAATCTCAGATGAATGGTGAAACAGTAAACTATTACCTGTTTACAAAAACAAAGGAGATGTAAAAATGCAGGATTAAAAAAAAACAAACGCTCACATTAAGAAAGCATATTGTAGAGTTACTCGAGAGATTCTGTGGTGGACACTTAATCAGAAAGGAGTCCCCTGTGAATATGTAAAGATTGTGGGGGACATGTATGAAGGAGTAACAACTGGTGTTAGAACCGGCGTGGGAGAGACTAATAAATTTTATGTAACAGTAGGATTGCATCAAGGCTTGGCTTATCTATTCTAATTAGTTTTGGATCAAATAACAACGAAACTACATGGTAAAATTCCGTGGTGCTTAATGTATGCTGATGATGTAGTGTTAGTAGGAAATAGTGAAAGACACAGAAAAAAAAAACTGAAACAGTGAAGAAAAACTCTTGAGAAAGAAGGTTTAAAACTTAGTACGACAAAAACAGAGTACTTGGAATGTTCATTTAAAGAAGGGAGTTACTACAAAAAAATGATATCTTTGCATTTTAAACTCGCATTTTAAATATTTATCTATAATATAAAAACTTGGAAATTCAGAAGTATTTAAGTTAATACCTATTTTCTAATTACAACTATTTAAGCTGTTAGTGAAGCAGAAGAAACTTCTGCTAGTTTTAATATTAGTAGGATCTCGAGTTAACCATAGTCTAAACTCAGCCTCATTTAACCAAGACTCCTGAAATTTTTGTAGTCTTAATATTGAGGCTAATTTTATTGGTCCGTGCGGTATTTTCATCATCTGGTTGTTCACTCATATTTTAATGAATTCAATTTTTCAATATAAGTATTAAATTCAAATATACTATTAATGTATTGGCTGAGTCCAGCCCAACAATATCTTGAAGAGGATGAATCACGCTTACAAACGAAATCTGATATCGTAAACTGTGAATTCGAAAATGTCAAAGTTATTTCATTATTATTTTTTTTGGATTGAATTATTTTATTAGAAATTAATTATATCGTAAAATTATGGTTTATGAAAATTATAATATATTTAAGGATTATTGTAAAGGCATGATAGTACATAATAAAAAGAACTGTAATTATAGTATGTCTACTATAAATATATAGTATGGCTACTACCACTGCGTTTCAAAGATAGTGAAACAATGCTAGTCTTATAAGAGGCGCTTCAGATAAAATAGGAAAAAGCTTTATAGGAAAAGTATAGATCAATTTAAAAATAGTCAGATCTGGTAGTTATCAAATAAATAAAGAAGAAAGAAACAAACTATATCAGGTTTGATAAGATAACCAGCCACCAAAAGTTACAACATATGTACAAAAAAGTTTTATATTCTACCTTTTAAAATACCATTATCGGCTAAAAGAGTATCTTTAACAATATCGCCTGTGGGAAGCATAGTGATCACTATACTTGCATCTTTTGCTGCATCTTTGGGCGAACTACAAACTTGAGTACCCTTAAGATTCGCAACACTGTTAAGTGCTGCAGGTACAATATCGAATACTTTTACTTCTTGCCCTTTACTGGTGAGGTTCTTGACCATTCTGGCACCCATTTGGCCGAGACCGATGAATGACACATTGCTGGCATTTCTGGCTGTAAAAAGAAGAAAATTCTATTATTATATATAAGATATACCTAAAGAACTAACAAACAAGTTTATATATACGTACGGGTCGAATATTTTTATCTACTATATAGCGACGGTGGAGAAAAAAATTATGAAAACAATGGAGAGATAACCATAAAAGAACTACAGGAAGCAATTAGAGACCGAACAAATGGAAAAGCACCAATGACAAAATAACAAACGAAATGACCAAAAACATTGGAAAACATAAAAGAACTGCTATTGGAGGAGATAAAACTGGTACCAAAAGATTGGCAGAAGGAACGGAAAAGACGGGTGTATACTAGTTCGCTCCCACGGTCAAATTTTAATACCCCATATAAAAGAGGCATAGGTAAATTCGCTCCGGCCATATATTTCTTCTTCTTCTTCTTCAACTGCCCTGTCCGTTGCGAACGTTGGCTATTAACATGGCAATTTTGATCTTGTTTGCGGCGCTTCTGAATAGTTCGACCGATGTGAGCCCGAACCACTTCCGCAGATTTTGGAGCCACGAGTGTCTTCTCCTGCCTGGCCCTCGCTTACTGTCTATTTTCCCCTGGACAATCAATTGTAGCAGACGGTACTTATCGTGTCTCAATATGTGGCCTAGATATTCAAGCTTTCTTTGTTTAATCGTATTCACGATTTCTTTCTCCTTTCCGATTCTTTGGAGTACCTCTATGTTGGTGACATGTTCGGTCCAGGATATACGAAGAATGCGTCGGTACATTTCGAATGCTTCTAGTTTTCTCGTTAGCGTCTCCGTCAGCGTCCAGGCCTCCACGCCATACAGCAAGATCGGAAAAATGTAGCATTTAACTAGACGTAGTTTTAGGGGAAGAGACAAATCCTTGCTTATGAGGAGCTTTTTCATATTGCTAAATGCTGCTCTAGCTCGTTCTATTCTCGCCTTAATTTCTATGGTCTGTTCCCATTTTGCATTTACGTTGGTGCCAAGGTTCACATAAGATTCTACATGGTCAATTAGTATGTTACTTATCCGTAATTGTCGAGCAGGTTGTTGCTTTTTGCTTATCAGCATTCACTTTGTCTTCTTGAAGTTGAGGCTCAGGCCGTATTCCTCACTAACTGAATAAAGTCTTTCCATTACTTGTTGTAATTCGTCTATGGTACTGGCAAGGATCACCGTGTCGTCGGCATATCTTATATTGTTCGTTAACTCGCCGTTTATTTTTATGCCCTCATTTGCATTTTCCATACATTTGTTAAATATTTCCTCGGAATACATATTGAATAGGAGTGGGGATAATATACACCCCTGACGGACAACTCTTTTGATCTGCACGCTTTCAGTGAGTTCGTTGCCAATTTTTGCTCTTGCTATTTGACCCCAGTATAGGTTTGCCACAATTCGAATGTCCTTGTCGTCAATACCTGTCTTTCGCAGAATACCTATCAATTGTTCATGATTGACATTGTCAAATGCTTTTCTAAAATCTACAAAACACAAATACACGTCCTTATCAACGTCTCTACACCGCTGTATAAGCACCTGGAGAGCGAAAATTGCTTCTCTAGTTCCAAGTGCTTTCCGAAAACCAAACTGCGATCTATGAATATTTGACTCACATTTATCATATATTCTTCTATGAATGATCTTAGTGAACGCTTTAGTGACATGATTGATCAAGCTTATAAGCCGGTAGTCATCACAAATCTGGGCATTTGGTTTCTTCGGGATTGTAATAAATGTTGACTGCAGCCAGTTCTCCGGGATTTTACCGCTGTCTGAACTGTTTGTCTGATTTACATAGGATCTTTAATATTTCGCAGGGTACATTGTCCGGACCTGCTGACTTATTGTTTTTTAGTGCTGCAATGGCATCTTCTATCTCCGATTTAAGGATTGAAGGTCCTGTTTCTCCTTCTCCATATAGGTGATCATCAGTCCTGTCAGATGCAAATAATTTTTCTATGTATGATTTCCATGTTTTTAAGATCGTTGATGGCTCTGAGATGAGATTTCCATCGCTATCTTTTATGCTGTTGGGTGACTTATTGAATTTCCTCTTGTTTGTCATCGATTTTATTTTTTTGTGCATATTGTAACTGTCGTATTTTCCTTCGTATTGTTCTATTTCCCTGCATTCGTTGAAAAACCATTTTTCTTTGGCTTCTCGAATTTTCGTTCTTATGGTTTTGTGGATGTGCTGGTATTTTTCTGCATTTTTATTCTTGAATTTACGTCTTTCATCCATCATATCCATTATCTCATCAGACATCCATTCTTTCTTTTTCCGTCGGTCACGCTTTAATAGAGTCGCGCATGTTGTTTGGATTGTTTCCCTCGATTTATCCCATCTCTCTATTATGTCCGACGTGTTCTCGTTAATGTCCTTTATTTTCTTTCCTAGTTGTTTTTTTTTACTTTTATTTCGGTTTCTGGGTTAGTGAGTTTTTTAATATCGATTGTGTTTAAATTAGATCTTTTCTCGAGCCGTTTTACTCTCATGACCATTCTGCATACCAACAAATTGTGGTCCGTAGGAACATCGGCACATGGGTACGTTTTTGATGATTTTATCATCAAAATTTTGATTATAAATGGTGCATTATAAATGGTACGTTTTTGATGATTTTATCATCAAAATTTTGATGATAAAATCATCAAAAACGTAATTTTGATGATAAAATCATCAAAAACGTACAGTTTCTAAGAAAACGTTTCTAAGAAATATATATATTTCTTAGAAAAGATATTTGAATAATGTCGTTTCACACTTTGTATTTACCTATTAATACAACACTACCATCATTGTTTAAAAAATAATGAGTCTTTTTTAAACAATGCTACTGTATAACACTACTTCTTACTTAAAAAATATTAAAATTATAACGATAATATCACTAAATTATTATGATGTTAGAGCTAATATTCCCTTGTTCAATATTTGATTGGGTTTTTCCGTATCAGAAGTTGCAATTGATATATTTCTTTCAAAAGATTGATAGGTAATTAGTAGTCTACCTAAAATTCTCTAAAATTTTATGATAAGAAATAGGAGTGGTGCGAATCTTAACATTATTACTTTAGTTTCAGTTTGAATGTCGTTATACCTAGTTCATGATGGAGAAATCTAAAGTAAGTGAAATGTTAAGTGAAAAGGGCACCTCAATCAAAGAATATAGACGCTGAGCATCAAAAGTTTGTTGATCACAAAATAGCGGAATTAAAGCAAAATAAAATTAGTAGATTTGATTTTGTCAAATGTATTTCATTTAGATTTCTAGCGAAATACATGCCCCGTTTTAATTTATATTTATTTAATTTTGTAATGGTAGATAATATCCCATATTATGTTAGTTTTTACACTTGTATTGCTTTCTTATTATACCTATATCTTAGAATAAGCACAAAAATTATTTCAGTAATTTTTAAAAACAATTAAAAATTTCTAATGTAATTTCTAAATCAATCACTAACATTTTTCAAAATACATAACAGTAATGAGCGCGATAATACCGGCAAAATAACGCAGAAGATGGAAAACATATTAAGTTGTGAGATAAATAGAAATGAAACTAGTGGAGATGGGAAAATTAGCGATAGAACCTACAAATCTACATTTCATTTATTGTTTCCCACCTTTAGACGTAAGAGTTTGGAAACTACCGCTGCGACAGCGAGTTTTAGTTGACATCCTCCTCTGATAGGTACGTCTAAAGGTGAGAAACATTGAATAGAATTAGAGACCGACCGAATGTGATTTTTTTGGCCGAAGCCGATGCCGAAGTTCGGCCTGAAGAATACCTTCGGCCGAAGCCGAAGGTGACTAAAAATATATCTATTACCTATTATATGTTAATAATTTAAATAATGTGCATTACATTTTTAATAACTGATAAGTGATAAACAAAAATATAAAATTATGAGATAAAAAAGTCAAATATTTATACATTATTTGGTAATAGAAGCGATAATAAAAATAAATAACATCAAAAAACATTAAAGCAAGTGAGTTAATAGTGCTGGTAGTTAATATTCGAAATCAAACATCCTAATATTATACGTAAGAAAAAGAAGCTTGTCAGCATTTTCTCCCAACAAATTAGTTCTTCTGTCAGCGTATAGTTGCCCAGCAGAGCTGAATAACTGCTCACTAGGTACACTCGTTGGTGGTATCGATAGAAATTTTTTGGCTGCAGTTTTTAAAGAAATATAGGGACTTGATTCCCAATAATGAAATATGTCGGCACTTCTTAAAAGCAAAATCTCTCGTAAATACGAATCTAGGTAATCTGCATTGGAATCGTTGTCGTTATGAATTTCTTTTGTTGTATCTAGAACGGCTGTGACAAAAGTATCATGTGAATTCCAAAGACTATTGTTTTCTAGATCTTCTACATGTGTAGTTGTAGATGATGATGTTAAAGCGATAGCCATAGGAACTTTATTTGTATAACTAAACTTAGAGCTATCAGATTCACGTAGAAATTTTAAAATTCTTGCTTTACATGTAATTACTTCCTTGTCTGTCAAATATTTTGATTTAAAGCGAGGATCTAGAAGAGTCGCAATTGACAATTCTGGCAAATTTGTAATATTAGCGAATCTTTTAATTAATGATTCACGACGTCGTAGCTTTAATAAACTTATCTCCTCAGAGTCCTGTTCTTTCGCAGAAACTTTACCATTTAGCATTTTTATTAGTGGGATAACCAATGATACACAAGCAGAATCGGCTGAAAGATCTAGCGTCGCTTGGTAAAAACAAGTTAAAACTGAAATTAAATTGTTGATCAATTTCCATTGTGTTGAACTGGGAACTTCAATACCACCACGTTCAGCCATATACAAATTTATTTCAACTTTCTGTTCGAATAGCCGCTCCAACATTAGGTAAGTGCTATTCCATCTTGTTTCCACATCCTGAATTAACATATGCTGTGGCAAATTGCAAGTTTGTTGAAACTGCCTCAGGTATCTGCACGCTTGTTCACTCCTTTTAAAATGTCCCACAAT